CCCTCACATATACTAATGTGCCACAAACAGGACTTTAATATCACCAACCATTCCCATTTTATTACGGTGTATCCATATAAATGGCCCACCCTATAGATGGCTTCAATGCAGCAACACAGTGAATAAAGTAAACCAGGCACAGTCTTCATCTACAATTGAGTCTAGAATCACACACTGTAACTGTTATGCCAGACCACAGACATGTCCATTAAGATCTTCCCCACTTATGTAAAACTTTTAAATAAATATGTGAATCAGAACTGTAAAGTAAAAGGTTGCTTAACTTGCGGTATTAATTACAATCTCTTTCAAAATTACATTCAACTCATTCTCGTAAAGTCATCAGCAGTAGTTCAGTATTGCTTAATAATTCAGCGGGGGCGTTTTGTACTATTGGCTGGGTGACACTAGCTCACAGGAGAGCTGGGTGCTGTGCGACCAGATGTCTTTGCCAGGCATGGGTAAACAAAAATCCTTGCCTTTGCATAATTGTGCCCCAGGGAGATTTACTTCCTCCTTCTCTCTGATTTTCAATTTTCGGTTTTGACATTGTCTCTACTGCATCCACCAGCTTTTCATAACTGTAATGTGTAATTACCAGCAATCTAACACTTTGATACGTTATGTCCTTGTGATTCTTTGATCAATACTTTTGTTGTTTCTCGGGTATTAGTCGTGTGTCCGCCCCCCTCCCCCCCCATGAGCAAATATGTGCACATTTGTGCCACCACTGAATGTGCTTTTGTTTTGTTCTCTCTAAAGATAATTTTCTTTTACTTTGTTTTCTTCTTGTAGCACTGTAGCGCTCTCAGTCGCTTCCCTCACGCCTCATGCTTTCCTTCCTCGTTGCAGTCTCTGCTATTCTCTTTCAATTTCATTTTAAAGCTAAGCCATTTGGAGTTGAAGATAGGTCAGAAGTAAAAATTGGCCTATGGTAATGACATGGTGCATAATCCATCATCATAAGTGTTTCAGTAGTGTCAGTGTGCACTCATTTGGAATAACATGGAGAGGGGGAACAGGTGGTAGAGTAAAGGTGTGCCAGATAAAAAAGGTTCTTTGGGTTTGCACAGTGAGTAGCCTATATTCTCAATTACTTAAAAAAAAAGTCTTAATCACATGAACAGCCATAAACTAGTGGATTGTAGAAGTCTTCATGTTAAATGTTTAAAATATGTCGACATTTTGCTAGATTTTCGAGGAGGCAGGTATTGCAGCTGACTGCAATGTTTGCTGGAGAATGTAATTGTTCCCTTTACTGTGATCAAGTGGAAACACTGTGGGGAGCATTGCTCAGGGTGGGCAGCGGGCAAACAAAAACAATTCCAGTTTTTTGCAGAAAAAAACATTTTAGCTAGGACTGGGGTGTGGATTGCCATAGTTGAGCTTATTTATTACTTCACCATTTAGCTGTGTATGATTTTCAATGTGCTAACAAGTTAAAGAGCATCTAAATGAAGCAGAGCAAACATTTGCAAACTAATTTTAATGTTTTATATCATTGGTAGGGACCTAATACAAAATTCACTTTGTGCACCAACAATTTCAGATTAGATTTGAGAATATTGACTTTGACCCACCAAGGGCGCATGATCTAAATGCATCAGACAGAGCAGACTGTCTTCAACAACAGACCTGATTTGCGACTCTGGGATGCGAGTGCGTATCACGAGTGCCAGACTGACGCGATGGGCTTTGCCACCTCCTGGCTATGACACTGAGAGCATTAATTACCATGTCTTTGAGAGGACAATCTAATCTTAGGGACACATGGTGCATAAACCTAGGTGTCCCTGGGGGAGTTTGCTGCTACATTTTTGCAGAATTACATGCAAAGTTTCTTGAAAGCTAATTGATAAGTTGTTTAATTATTGTAATTATTGATCACATGATCAGTTTCTCTTTTGCATCTGTGTTTCCTGGGAATCAGCTGTTAGTCGTTAGTAATAAATCCATATTTGCATTGATAGGACTGACCCAAGAGTAACTGGGACACAAGACAAGTAAGGTAGAATAAGAGAATGTTTTTCTGTTGCTGAAATCCTGTAAAAAGAATATATAACATGTTATGTCGTTTATGTTATGTTGTTTACCCGTGTAACTGATAGAGTCCATGCAGTTGAGAAGGCAAATGTATAGGGAGGGACAGCTCATTGTGAGGCAATATTTTATTTAGTTTTCTTTTGTTTGGTTAAATTCCATAAGGGTTTTCCTGTTAGTTTCATTATGACTTGTTTTTTTGAAAAAATGCCATTTTTAGTTTTTTCTCTTGCTAAAACTGTTTAACGGTTCCTTTTTGGCTCTCGTTTGCTGAACAACTGCAGCTCTCGTTTTTTGGGACACCCATTTACATGTCGCAAATAAAGTGCGACATGTAAATTATGCTGTTTGTTCATCAGAAAGAGTATGGCTAACTAATGATGCTGCTGAGTTGCATTACTGGATAGAATTTTAAAATATGAATGTTTTCCTTTCCACTGCTACATGTTTGCTCATATCTGATTGGTGGGCTTTCCTCTCTATTATTCTAAGGTCTTTATTTTGAATCCAGTGTTTCTGGAGTTTGAACCATGCTTGGACTGTAACCCTGCTGCTGCTGCTGCATTGATTTAAATACATTTTAAATGTCTCATATGTCCCCCACTATGTAACCACCCTTGAAATGACTGCAGCAGAAAATATGCAATTTCTTGTCCTCCTTCTGCAGCATCCCTCTCTTGTCTTATTTACAGTGAATTGATCAAACTAATTGCTCTTCCTTTGTATCTCCTGCAGGGAGAGCATAAGGACACAGATGTCGTTGAGGAAAGAAATGCCCAGGTGCAGCTGGAGAAAGCAAAGGTACTTTTGCTCTGTTGCATCATGTAACACCTGATCTGACCCACTGTGGCTCTTACAGACTCATTTTTGAGAGAGGCTGTTCTCAAGGACATGATTACATCACAGACATGAAACACACACATCAGGACATTGGATTAGCGAAGCAATATTCTTCTACTGAAATGAGTCATCACAGTCTTCATCCTTGTCGTTCCTTTATGTGCTCACTGCCAGGAGAAGGATGATGACCAAGGATATTGATTATTTCTTCAAATAAATTACAATACTTTCATCTTTAGCCATATGCTTTCTAGCATGATAGGAAAATAACCAATTTAACTGACACAAACTATATTGTAATGCAACAACATTTAAATTGTAAAGAAATTTGATATGTGATTAATTACTTTGCCGTCAGAACAACAGTGGAACAACATTTTTCTGCAGTGTGACTGGAATACGTTCAAATCATCGGCACATCTGTATCTGAAATCTGTTCAGATGCAGTTAAAGATTACCCTCTGATACAGTTTGTATTTCTATAATCTATTTAAAAAAGGTATGGTCTTTTCTCTGGTTGCTTATTTTATGGTTATGATGTCCTGAAAATCTTTTTCAGAGCAAAATTTAAGAAAGTACCAGATTTACCAATTTACATTTACTGGGTTTCACACACGCATTCCTCTTTCTAGTTATCACTGTCGTTCAAACCCATCAGGTTTTGATGTGATCCAGATGTCACAATATAAGTATGAAAAAGATAATGTAATAAAAGAGTCATTTTATTAATTAATTGGCATTGGCATTAAGTTCTGCTAATGAAGAAAAAAGCAAATACTGTTAAAACAGTATATATAAATTGTTTATGTATGTTTTGCTATGTTTTCTCTTAGTGTTTTCTCTGAGTCATCAAGTAATGTGGTGTGTCTGTAAAAAAAACTGCATATGCATTTTAGTAAGATTGTGCAGTTAATATTAAACACAATATGTAGATAGTCAAGATGAGGTAAAACGATTAAACCTGCTGGTATTATACTATAAATGTAATATCATATGGTTATCATTTTTAGGTCTGGCTTACATACATACAAAATGTGCGATATAGGTTTTCCTTTTGGGGCATAATCACAATTAAGGTCATTAGAGATGTGTATATTAAATTAAATCCTCACCTACAGATTTAATGTGCTCCCACTGTTGCTTTGTAATTAAGGCGGCAAAGACACCCGACCCGTCACCTACTGACCCTGCAGCCTCTCCCACAGTCTCTAATCTTTCCAAAGTGGAGTAATTAGCAGCTTGATTGACAAGCCACCGACATTCTATTCTGAATGTCGGTTGTAATCCTATTCTGATAGGATTACAACACCAACATTCGGTCAGGAGGAAGCATACAGTAGTTACAGTGCAACAAAAAAGAAACAGCAACAGGTCATTTTTCCTAAGCATAAAATAAACATATCCCTTTGGTGGAAGAAAAATCAAACAAAACATTATCATGTCCCATGACAGTCAGACAGCAGGAATTTAATCATCAGTAGCTTCATCTTATACAGCTGAAATGCAGAATCTTCCAGAATTTGTGTCTGAGCTATATTTCTAAAATGTAGAGCACTTCACATTAAACTTATACTTGTTTTCCTAACATCTGTCAAAATGTTAATTTATATGTGCATCAGGCCACATATTTGTGTATGTACACAAAATGCTGGCAACACAGCCAATTGTACTTGACACAGTTATGCAGTTTAGCCACACCCCTTAATTTAAAAAAACTGTAGAAAAGGGAGAAGAAAAATGATCTAATAATGTTAAAACACTGGAAGTCAACATTCTGAAATTCTCTAATAGTTAGTTATTCCTTACTGAACTGAGGAATCACAATTATGTGCAACTTCACATACTGTTAAAATAGGATTGAATATTAATACAAGGATAAAAGATCAGTGACTTGTTTGGTCGTACGTTACAGCTTGTGGTATTATCACAGTAACTCTCTTTTCTTGACTAATGGTTGTATTTTTAACTTTTACCTACTATTTTATTACTTACCTATTATTACTGACCTAATTCATTAAATGTCATATTTATAAAAGCTTAGCTTTTAGCCTTTGTAAAATGGATTACACAAGGTTACTCTCTTACCCTTTTGTAGATTGTATTGTATATAATATGATTTATTAGTAATCATAACTCCTGCCTTGTATTCCCAGTACAAGCCTGTGGCATTTGCTGTACGATGCAACTTCTCTTACACGCCAGCAGACGATGACAACGTCCCTGTACCAGGCCAGGCTGTCACTTTTGAGGCCAGGGACTTCCTACATATCAAAGAGGTTTGAAACAAACACACAAATACACATATCATGCAAAATTACAAACAGTACAAATGGGGGTTGTTAGAAGGACGTAACTGACAGGGCAGAACCAGACGGATTTTAAAATGAGAAGCAAAATGACAACAAACTGATGGAATGTAACCCAAGAGACGGAAAAGAAATCCAAAGAGGAGAAGCAACACAACATCCCAAATTGTCCAGATAGTGACGTACTTTTGGTGCATTCTTCTTCTTTTCACACACTTTGAAATGTGTTGTGGTTTAGCTGATAAAGCTTGACACCTTTTAATTAAGATTTGGGTTAATTTTTTAGATACAGATAACACAAAATGCAAAGCTACAGTTGCTAAATTGGACCATTAACATCATCAGATAAAAATAATGTGAGTCACATGAGAACATCAATCTTTAAATGTCCGCTCTTTTTTTTTCTTCTGAATGAGCAGAAGTTTAACAATGACTGGTGGATCGGACGGCCGGTGAAGGAGGATGGTGTGGTGGGCTTCGTCCCCAGTCCAGTCAATCTGGAAACCATTCTTATCCGAAGAGAAGTCCAAGCGAGGAAAGCTGCCAAGGCATTAGCCAAGTATGTACATCGTGATGCTCTTTCATTTCCTTCATGAGGGTTTTTATGCAGGAATTTCAATGCAAAAGTTGTGTTTTAAATTGACCACAAATAAATAAAATTGCTGGAGCAAAGAGACTTTGAGAAAACAGTGTTGGTTCGAATGTGTATACACTGATACTTTTGGCACAAAGACGAAAAATAAAAAGGAAAGGTTGTGATATCAGCCTGTCTGCGGGTGGTGGCTCGGTAGCGGACCTTTTTTAAAAAACAAAAAGACAATTCTAAAGTCTTTTTACTGGTGTGGAATAATACGTTTTCAATTTTAAAAAATTATCAAGCAGACTGGTAAACAAGTTTGCTGTAGTGATATGCAAATAACATTTTGACTTAAAACTTGTATCATACACTTTCCCAGCTTACTTTTTAGTAATTTAGTGTGTTCGTGTATGAATGACATTAGTTATTTTATGTATTTTATGTTGTTTAACTTAAGTTTGTTTCATGTCATCATGTGTGGTAGTAAATTATAACGGCGATG